ATTAAAAGAGCATTAAAAAGTATTAAATTGCAGTTAATCATTCCTGTATAAACCATATAGAAGATAATGTAATTAAAACCTCTATATATAAATGTTTACTCTATAAACATAAAAAGTTCTGTGATGAACAAATGACCTGATGTTTTGTTCATCTCTTAGAGCATTTATCATAAGTTTTCATGATTCCTGTCAACTTAGATTGATCCTTATACTCACAGCACAGTCCTGTATTTAGCAAAAAACAAACCCACATCATAATTGAGATCATTCAGTTTCTGTGTATTTGAGCTCCACACATTAATGTTAAGAAGGCAAAGTTTAGGTGTTCAAAGGTGAAATTTATCCAGGTTAATTATTGTAAATTTACTCAGCATGACCTTAATGCAAAAATGACCCATTTCCCCTAAACAACATTACTGTTATTTCCTCTCCATTTCCACCTTGTTGCATTTTAAAACCACCAAACCCCAATTAAGTTGTCACACGTGCATTTTTTTTGTCTCTGCACAAAGAGCGACGTGTGCGCTGACAGGCGCACATGCAGGAGGGTTGCAAGTGATGACTAATTTCCTTGAGAGATTATATGACAATTTAACAACGAGTTTTTCCTCTGAAATCAAAACATTACCTAGAATATCACTCTTGGAGAAACAGCAAGATGACCTAGTTGGTCTTCTACCTGACAGGAGGTTTTTAATCTTTAACCTATATTGAGGTTTTTGTAAAGCTGACATGTTGTCCAAAGGGGATCACAATGCCAATCTGAAGTCTCTTCACTAATTTATTAAATTCAGCTCTGATGATTACCTTCCTTGTAAAAATTCCTTATTGATTTTAGGAGCAAACTTTCCAATCTGAAATTCCCAGAAGTCACTTCTCTTACATGTAGACCCCATAAAACGTTTATCAGCGATTATAAGATGATTGCAGCTGTCAGCCATCTTTATTTGATCGTCTCAGATGGTGAAGGATGTTCACACTGCTGATGGGTTGTGAAAGAGTGTAGGTTGATGTGTGTGTGTGTGTGTTCATGGATGGTGTTTCAACTTTTTGCTGTTTCAGTGTGAAATGCGTACCCGCTCTCCACCTTTTAATCAAAATCATCATCTTTTTTTGAAACAAAAATCATGCATTTGTCAACAGTTTTCAGAAACATAGAGGAAGAGGGTTGGGCCATGACACTTCAAGAATATCTCCTTCCTCTGAACCATGTTAGGGAAGAAAAGAGTTCGATTTGCATAAAAGATGCCCTGCATTGCAGAATAAGCTTTCTGGTGTCTTGTTTCTCAGAATGCAAAATTTAGCCGGTTGTGAAGTTGGAAGCGTGCTGTGGTTTTTTTTTTTGGGGGGGTCCTCTTCATGGCTGAGGAAACGGTCCTTGGCGACACAAGCCTTTTCTACAGATGTGAAATTGGTATTGATGATCTGATCTGAAACTCGTGCAGTCATAGTGAGCAAAAAGATTAAATGAAACTTATGGAGTAAGCTGGAGAGAGTTTTCTCGTACTCTGTTCATTAGTTGCACTTTTGGCAGTATTTGCTGAGACTTAGTAGTAATCTGTAGTACTGTTCCTTTAGGAGTTTATCTTCATAACTAGGGTTAAATGATTTGGCCAATAATCAAAATTAGGATTATTAAATCATTATTTTCCTTTTCTCTAACCACAAACATAGAGATGTTTCCAAAAGCCTGCTTGTCTTCAACTTTACTATTAACTTTGTGTAAAAAAGGTCCTACTTCAGCATGTATGCATTGATCTGCACGCTAGCTGTAACTCTCTCTGACCCTCTGTGTGGCCGCTAGCCTACCTTAAGCATAATGCAGCCACCTACAGTGCTGGAGTGAGAAATTTAGTGTCTTAATATTGTTGAATGTAACTGGACAAAACACTGAGAGCCTCTGTGATTTGGAAATTGCGATATATATTGAAAATATTCAGTTCATCATCAATATATGAAATAATTAACAGTGACGGGCTCTCATACTCCTCCATGTCATATGCTGTGTTCACACCGAATGTGTTTTGAGCTGCAAAAAGCTGCGCAACGCCTTATCTTGGACACTTGTGCATATTAAAAAGTGTTTTAAGATGTTTTTAAGCGAAAAGTGAATCTTCAGACATCGTCCAGGTTTCTCAGCATTATGATTGTGCTTTTAAATGGTGTGAAGCTATTCTGAGCAGCAGATGATTTCTTTGGGTGTTAGCTGGTAGAGATTATAAGCTCTTTTACAAAACGTAAAAACTGCAAGTACCAGAATTAAAATAAATGAACACTGACCAGTTTTGACATATTAAGATTATGTAGGTCTAAATCATCAGTGCACTTTTTATTTTTTAATATGCGGGAAAAGATTCTCCTGTCTTATGATGCAAACCCAGGCTAGCTTGTTTACATCTTTTTTATATACATAATGATCTTTATAGGTTTTATGCTGACAGCTCTGTAGGAGGAGTGATCAGCCGACTCCTGGATCAGCTTTTCTGATCTGCTCCGTGGTCATTACAAGTCATTAAATTATTATTTCTTAAATTAAGGCCGTAATTGGAATTAAAAGGTATTAAATGTGACTATTGTGGCATTTAAAATGATTTATTTAAAAAAGAAAATACGGTTATAAAAATTACAATTTAAAATGACAGTTTCGTAAGATATATCATATCGCAATACATTTGCTCTGAACTGCTTCCGGTTGATCGTAAAGCGGAGTGTCTGGAAAAACGAGGAATGGACATGGTTGCAGTCTGTCGGCAGTTAATATGAACGCGTTTGACGTCTTTTTTATATATGTGTGTGTGTATGGATGTATGTATGAAGAAGCATTAAATTAGAGTTAATTATTCCTGTATAAACCCTTTGGTTGACATGCTGTGTCAAGCTGTAAAAGTTTAGCTTTTTTAAAGGGAAACACAGTTTTTTTTTTACATTGGGCCCTTGATTTTACGTTATTACATCATGTTCTACTCACCCATATGAGTTTTGTGTCATTTGTAACTGTTCTGAAGATAGCTGCTGTACCATAAAGAATAAATTATGAACAGTTTAGTTTGTGCCTTCAAGTCGTTGCCCAACGGAATATCTTCAGAACACCTCCAAATGACACAAAGCTAATATGGGTGAGTAGAACATGATGTAATAATGTAAAATCAAGGGCCCAATGTAAAAAAAAAACGGCGTTCCCCTTTTAACTTTGTAGCCGTTTTATAAATGTATTAAAGCACAGGTCCTCTCGACCTGCATCCACCGTAGAGTGAAAGTAAACTGGAAGTTTGTTCTGAATGCAGCATTAGACTGATCCCTTCTCCGACACGGCTGATATAATGCATTCATGTTATCAAGGCCTAATGACTTAGCCCTCATTGGATCCGGTGTGGTGAACCAAGCCACATTTGACCGCTCTTCTCACCAGACCTGGTTAGCCTTACATGGTTGGTTGGTTTTCTAGGACAGCCTTTGGTTTAAATCTTAAAATGGCTCCAAGGATTGAGATTTTTGGTCATTCCAGACGCAAAATTTTTATCCTTATCTGTTGCCACGTCTTAATCAAGTTTCACAACTCAGACCCAAACTGTCACTTTTGGGTGAAAAAAGATGGCTTACCAACATAAGAAACATCCTGTAACCATCAATGCTTCAGCTTAAACCAGGATATGATAACTTTACCTCTGACTCTGAGGGCTCAGGCCTAGAAAAACACTTGGCACAAAAATGAACACGTTTTTTAAGTCTTAATCTGCTGCAGAATTTATGGAGAAGCTAGTTTTTGGATTAAAAAACTTTATGGACAAACCATGACTATTATGAACAAAACGCAAATATTACATGAAGCAGTCAGAGTGAGGATTACAGTCCAAACCGCAACTTTAGGTTTCGATAAATTGTCTTTCCTACTGAGAAGTTAGATGTACATTTCTAGATGTCACACTCTTTAATGGAGAAAAACACTTGCTGATAATTCAGAGAAAAAGGGAGCTGCTTCAATCACCCTTATTACTGGCAACAACCACACTTTTATTAGCCCCTGTGCTCAGACGTCTGTTGATAAAGTTGATGTGCAGTTAAAGTGTCTCAGTTGTCACATTTGTTATCAGGAAATCTATCACATTTTATATATATATTTTCATGTAACAAATAAAGTGAGAATGTTCAGAGTCCTGATGTTATTTTTGACATGAGAATTAGGCCATAAGTTAAAACACTAGTTTTATCTTTTTTTGGTTACCTGATAAACCATAGAATGAGCTGGCTCTGTCTTTGTCTCAGTACTCCTTGGTCTTTGTTGGTGTCGCCTCGACTAAAACACCACGTCTATTCTTGGAAACAGCCGGTGGGTTAAAGTAGGGCTTGTGTGAAGTACTTAAAAGAAGAGCAGTACCATATTTGGACAATTTTTTTTATTTATATTTTTGCCCTGCCTCACTTATCCAACAGAGCAGAGCTTTCTGCTTTTCAGCATTTAATTCTTTTAAGGAACATGAGCAGTTTTTCTTTCTTTTTTTTTTACATCCTCTTCTGCTTGAAGTGTGATCAAAATCACTCACTTCTGTAGGTTCTTTTTTTTGTTGGTTTTTAATTACAGGGTTTCCCAGGGTCATTAAAAATTAATAAAAAACATTAAATTATATATTTTTAATTAGGGCCTTAATTGGCATTAGAATTCATTAAATGTGATTATAGTGGCATTTAAAATGCTTTATTTAGTTATTATTTATTTCCAGATCCCTTCGATTTCACCCTGCTTTTATTTTTCATTTCTTAAAACTATATCTCTCTGAGGCGTGTTCATGCTTGTTTCTTCGGTCTTTTACAGTATGGACGGCGGTGAGCTTTTCAGTCGAATCCAGGACAGAGGAGACCAGGCCTTTACAGAGAAAGGTAAATAATGTCATAAACACCCATTTCTACATACGGCAGAAAACCAAACGAGAAGAAAGCCCCTTTATATTGCGGCAGTATTTTATTTGTTCCCTAATATCTTTATTATAGAGGCCTCTGATATCATGAAGAGCATAGGAGAGGCCATCCAGTTTCTACATGCAATCAATATTGCACACAGGGATGTTAAGGTTTGTAATTTAAGCTGGGTCTTACTCTTCCGTCTTGATTTGTGTCTTTTCTTAAGTGTTTTTGCTGGTTTTCTGTTTATTTCCTGCAGCCAGAGAATTTACTGTATTCGTCGAAGAGGCCAGGGGCTCTCCTGAAACTCACAGACTTCGGCTTTGCTAAGGAGACGACCTCACACAACTCTTTAGATACTCCCTGCTACACACCGTACTACGTTGGTAAGAGGCAGCTCTTCTGTTAGAAAAGGAGTAGAACGGTGTTTCTAGTGCTTCTGAACTAATGCAGAAATCTGGATATCTATTTTAAACCACCTGCTGCTGTGCAGACACTATAGCTTTAATTGTTAATTGTTTAATTGTTCCCACCATAGCTGGGTGTGATTATCCCCATCAGGCAATTCTATGGAGCTAAATTAAGTCCATGATACCTGTCCAAAAAGGTATTTTGCTTCAAATCAAAATAAATATTTTCACAATGGAAAATTATTTGGAAACTAAAGAAAACAAAGGTTTAAAACTGTTTGTTTTTTTTAAGTTAGAAATGAAAGATTTCACTTATAAAAGTATTGAAACTGAAAAAAGTGTATTTGAAACTGTGAAGAATTTTTTTATTTTCCAAAACCACATACACACAAATAATTGATTATGCTTTAAAAAC